AAGGGCCCCCCTGGGTGCCCCCAGGAGAAAGGACCAGCACCCCTGGGTGCCCCTAAGGAACAGGACCAGCACCCCTGGGTGCTCCCTAAAGATGAGACCGGCACCCCTGGGTGCCCCTGGGGGGGGAATGGGCACCCCTGGGTGCCCCCTAAATCCAGCACAGCACCCCTGGGTGCCCCTGGGGTGGGGAAATGGCACCCCTGGGTGCCCCTAGGGATGGGACCAGCACCCCTGGGTGCCCCTGGGGAAGGGACTGGCACCCCTGGGTGCCCCTTGGGCAGAGGATGGGCACCCCTGGGTGCCCCTGGACGTGACGCAGCACCCCTGGGTGCCCCTTTGCTATGGGTCCGGCACCCCTGGGTGCCCCCTAAGTGCGGCGCAGCACCCCTGGGTGCTCCTGGGAAGGGGAAGGGCACCCCTGGGTGCCCCCAGGAGAAAGGACCAGCACCCCTGGGTGCCCCTAAGGAACAGGACCAGCACCCCTGGGTGCTCCCTAAAGATGAGACCGGCACCCCTGGGTGCCCCTGGGGGGGGAATGGGCACCCCTGGGTGCCCCCTAAATCCAGCACAGCACCCCTGGGTGCCCCTGGGGTGGGGAAATGGCACCCCTGGGTGCCCCTAGGGATGGGACCAGCACCCCTGGGTGCCCCTGGGGAAGGGACTGGCACCCCTGGGTGCCCCTCGGGCAGGAGATGGGCACCCCTGGGTGCCCTGGGCAATGGGATGGGCACCCCTGGGTGCCCCCGGGGAGGGGGACCAGCACCCCTGGGTGCCCCTGGGGAAGGGACTGGCACCCCTGGGTGCCCCTTGGCTGTGGGTCAGCACCCCTGGGTGCCCCCGAGAAACAGGACCAGCACCCCTGGGTGCCCCTAGAGCTGGGACCAGCACCCCTGGGTGCTCCTGGGGAAAGGATGGGCACCCCTGGGTGCCCCCCACTACGGGTCTGGCACCCCTGGGTGCCCCTGGGGAGGGGGACTGGCACCCCTGGGTGCCCCTAAAGAAGAGGACCAGCACCCCTGGGTGCTCCTGGAGAAGGGACTGGCACCCCTGGGTGCCCCTTGGGCAGAGGATGGGCACCCCTGGGTGCCCCTGGACGTGACGCAGCACCCCTGGGTGCCCCTTTGCTATGGGTCCGGCACCCCTGGGTGCCCCCTAAGTGCGGCGCAGCACCCCTGGGTGCTCCTGGGAAGGGGAAGGGCACCCCTGGGTGCCCCCAGGAGAAAGGACCAGCACCCCTGGGTGCCCCTAAGGAACAGGACCAGCACCCCTGGGTGCTCCCTAAAGATGAGACCGGCACCCCTGGGTGCCCCTGGGGGGGGAATGGGCACCCCTGGGTGCCCCCTAAATCCAGCACAGCACCCCTGGGTGCCCCTGGGGTGGGGAAATGGCACCCCTGGGTGCCCCTAGGGATGGGACCAGCACCCCTGGGTGCCCCTGGGGAGGGAACGGGCACCCCTGGGTGCCCCCTAAATCCAGCACAGCGCCCCTGGGTGACCTCAGAGATGGATCCGGGACCCCTGGGTGCCCCTGAGGAGAGGATGGGTGCCCCTGGGGGGGGGTGGGGGGGGAATGGCACCCTTGGGTGCCCCCCAAGTCTGGTGCAGCACCCCTGGATGCCCCTAAGGAACAGGACCAGCACCCCTGGGTGCTCCCTAAAGATGAGACCGGCACCCCTGGGTGCCCCTGAGGGGGGAATGGGCACCCCTGGGTGCCCCCTAAATCCAGCACAGCACCCCTGGGTGCCCCTGGGGTGGGGAAATGGCACCCCTGGGTGCCCCCCAAGCCTGCTGCAGCACCCCTGGGTGCCCCTGGGGGGGGGGATGGCACCCCTGGGTGCCCCTGGGGAGGGAACGGGCACCCCTGGGTGCCCCCTAAATCCAGCACAGCGCCCCTGGGTGACCTCAGAGATGGATCCGGGACCCCTGGGTGCCCCTGAGGAGAGGATGGGTGCCCCTGGGGGGGGGTGGGGGGGGAATGGCACCCTTGGGTGCCCCCCAAGTCTGGTGCAGCACCCCTGGATGCCCCTAAGGAACAGGACCAGCACCCCTGGGTGCTCCCTAAAGATGAGACCGGCACCCCTGGGTGCCCCTGAGGGGGGAATGGGCACCCCTGGGTGCCCCCTAAATCCAGCACAGCACCCCTGGGTGCCCCTGGGGTGGGGAAATGGCACCCCTGGGTGCCCCCCAAGCCTGCTGCAGCACCCCTGGGTGCCCCTGGGGGGGGGGATGGCACCCCTGGGTGCCCCTGGGGAGGGGGACTGGCACCCCTGGGTGCCCCTAAAGAAGAGGACCAGCACCCCTGGGTGCTCCTGGAGAAGGGACTGGCACCCCTGGGTGCCCCTTGGGCAGAGGATGGGCACCCCTGGGTGCCCCTGGACGTGACGCAGCACCCCTGGGTGCCCCTTTGCTATGGGTCCGGCACCCCTGGGTGCCCCCTAAGTGCGGCGCAGCACCCCTGGGTGCTCCTGGGAAGGGGAAGGGCACCCCTGGGTGCCCCCAGGAGAAAGGACCAGCACCCCTGGGTGCCCCTAAGGAACAGGACCAGCACCCCTGGGTGCTCCCTAAAGATGAGACCGGCACCCCTGGGTGCCCCTGGGGGGGGAATGGGCACCGGCCACGGCGAAGGGGCGTGGCTAATCCTTCCCTGGGGGTATTTAAAGGGCCAGTGTCCCCCCCTCTCCTCAAAAAGGGCGGGGGTTAGTTAAGGGGGCGTGGCTAAGGCAAAGGAGGGCGTGGCCACGGCAAAGGAGAGCGTGGCCACGGCAAGGGGGCGTGGCTAATCCTTCCCAGGGCAGCCTGATGGAACCTGAGCCCTCCCTGCCACGGGGGGGGGTGGCGGGGTGAGGGGGGCGTGGCCAGGGCAAGGGGGCGTGGCCTCGACAAGGGGGCGTGGCTAATCCTTCCCAGGGCAGCCTGATGGAACCTGAGCCCTCCCTGCCACGGGGAAGGGGGGGGGGATTTAAAGGGCCAGCACCCTGCAAAAAGAGGTGGGGCTTAGCTAAGGGGGCGTGGCTAAGGGGGCATGGACAGCTCTCTGGGGGCGTGGCCACGGCAAGGGGGCGTGGCTAATCCTTCCCGGGGCAGCCTGATGGAGCCTGAGCCCTCCCTGCCACGGGGAAGGGAGGGGGATTTAAAGGGCCAGCACCCTGCAAAAAGAGGCGGGGCTTAGCTAATGGGGCGTGGCCACGACAAGGGGGCGTGGCCAGTGCAAGGGGGCGTGGCTAATCCTTCCCAGGGCAGCCTGATGGAGCCTGAGCCCCCCCTGCCACGGGGAAGGGGGGGGATTTAAAGGGCCAGCGCCCTCCTCTTCCCCCCCACCCCCAAAAGGGGCGGTGCTTAGCCGAGGGGGCATGTCCCCCCCGAAAAGGGGGCGTGTCTCACGTCGTTCTCGGTGGCGGCCTGGGGCAGCATGCGCAGCATGACGATGGTGCTGGCGCGGGGCTCCTCCTCGGCCGCCTCGGGCCGGTAATCCTGGTCCCGGTAATCGCCGTCCG